TGAAGCCACAAAAAGGTTTTCCGCTCGTTATGCCTCAAAAAAGCGTGCTAAAGGATCTTACGTTTCAGAAATAGCACCGAAGATATCAACTGTACACTTCACTTTGACAGTAACTCCGTTTAACCTAAAGTTATCCCATTTGGCTTCAACTTCCTGGGTTGTCTAAGCAAAGACAACGAAACAGTGTGTAGGTTTTCTTCACTGGCTGCAAATACTCGTTTCATGTGTCTTCCTCATGCTACACTGTTACTACCCAAATCACTTCAGGAGAAGCTAGAGTGGTTCTGAGCGCTGGAAAAACACTCCTTCCTTGATTTGGAGGTCCATTGACGTTGAGGAGTGAAATTGCGAACCACTCTCCTCAGGAGTGTTCATGGTGACGGATGAGGTTACCACACTGTCGGTGGATGAACGGTTCCATGACACCATCTGGCATGTATGATCGTCCATCAAATAAGCAACACATTTAAGAATCGGTGTATTCTCTCGGACATTGGACATAATCCAGTTAGCGCTGTTAGGCTTTAACTCAAGCGCAGCCTGTGGACAGGTAGAGAAATCTTATGCAATCATGAAACCCCAGAAATGGAGGAAGCTACTGCGACTTGGGGTTTTCGACAACTGTTTCACCTGATAAACAGAACCAAAAACCCCGTTTGTCACTGCGGTCCTCTAGGGGAAAAAGGCAATTCAACGCAAGGCCCATGGGTTGAATAAGTTCAGCAACGGTATACTGTGACGTGCAGTTCGACATTTATGTTTTTAACTCGATCTGCTCACACTGAAGTCACATCTGGAAGACGGGTGGCGGGATTATGATAACGACATGGTTCTGCTAGTGGACGACCACTTGTCCGCACAAACTACCCTGATGGAAAATCGAAATTGTTCCACTGTTTTGGTATACCCTTTGTATCTTCACCTATCCTTCGGACAGACGAGCTTGAGGGGTCTGTGAGTGCAGTGTACCAGATGAAGTAAATGTACACATCATCAAGAGAAGAGTCATTTCCACCACGTTGAAACACCCTTATGTCATGACTATATAACCCATACCTTTGCTGTGAGTGCACCAGATGAAGTAAATGTACACATCATCAAGAGAAGAGTTATTTCCACCACGTTGAAACACCCTTATGTCATGACTATATAATATAAACCTTTGCATAACCCATTAACTCGTGATTCTCACTCTATTTTCAGCTCATGTACTACAGTTATTAGACGATTAAAGCGTACATTACGTCTTCCTATTCTGTCTCCTTTCTAATCCCGTCCTGGAACTACTCGACTCTCGCAACAATTTAATCGTCTAATAAAAACGAAATGGATCATATTCTCCGACCTACGGTTTTTGATGCCGATCCTCACTCATCAGATGGCATGAAACGATGGACTCATTGGTTCCGTACTTTCAAAGCTTACATTAACTCAGTCAAACCCGAAGGTCTAAATAAATTGGAAACTCTCATTCGTCACATCGACCATACAGTGTATGACTTCATCGCAGAATGCAGCGACTACGATTCTGCGATAACCTTGCTGGAAAAACTTTACATCCGCCCGAAAAATATCGTGTATGCACGCCATCTTTTAGCCACATACAAACAAGAACCTGGTCAGGATGTCGACCAATTCGTTCAAAAACTGAAATCGCTTGCTAAAGACTGTGAATTCAAAGCAGTATCTGCTGTGGAACATACAAACGAAGCAGTTCGGGATGCTCTGATAACCGGATTGCAGTCGAATACCATTCGGGAGAAACTGCTAACGTGGCATGAATTGGACCTTGACAAAGCCCATGAAGCCGCGCGAGCTCTCGAACTTGCACAAAAACAGTCACAATCATACGTATACAGACAACCCGTTACTTGTTCGGTATCTACTCCTTTACCCATTGTTAATTCCGAAACAACAGTTTCGGCCGCTACACAACAAACATGTTACTTTTGTGGCAACCCCAAGCACCCTCGTTATAAGTGTCCCGCTAAAGAATCAGTGTGCAAGAGTTGTGGAAAAATTGGACATTTTCAACGTGTCTGTAGGTCCAAAGCCTCGAAATATCACGCGGGTTCAGCTCAAGACTCCTCAATCTCCTCGCTATTTTGTGCTGCTGCTCCCAATTGCCTATCCAAAACTACAACAGATATTTTGGTCAACGGCGTTGTTGTCCGAGCTCTCATTGATACCGGCAGCTCCAGAAGTTTCGTTTCTTCATCAATCCTGCAAACTCATAACTGGGAGCTATTTCCGTACGACTCTGTGATAACAATGGCGTCGACGATACATTCATGTTCCACCAAAGGTTATTGCCTTGTGTCCATTCAGTACAAGGATGCTATATACGAACGTTTCAGACTTTGTGTATTACCGAACCTTTGTGCAGACGTCCTTCTCGGACATGACTTTCTGGGGTTACATGATAAAGTCGAAATTCCATTCGGTGGTCAACGGGGTACCCTAACTGTATGTGGCGTAACATCCGCAAAACTGGAATCTCCATCCTTATTCACCAATCTTGCTCCAAATTACAAACCGATCGCCACAAAATCTCGTCGTCATACACCGGAAGATGAACAATTCATACAAACGGAAGTAGACCAAATGCTTACCGATGGCATAATCGAACCATCAAATTCTCCGTGGAGAGCACAAGTGCTCGTTACCCGCAATGCAAATCACAAGAGACGCATGGTGATAGACTACAGCCAGACAATCAATCGCTTCACCTACCTTGACGCTTATCCTTTACCAAGGCTCGACCAAATGATTGAAACCATCGCACGCTACACCGTCTACAGCACACTGGATCTCCAGAGTGCATATCATCAGGTTCCAATAATCGAGTCAGACAAGCCATTCACAGCGTTCGAAGCTGGGGGGAACCTATACCAGTTTCGGCGCATTCCTTTTGGAGTGACAAACGGGGTCGCGTGTTTTCAGCGAACGCTGAACAATATAATCAAAGCCGAACAGGTAAAAGACACATTCGCTTATATCGATAACGTCACTATATGCGGCAAAACGAGAGATGAACATGACCGTAATCTTAGGCATTTTCTCGATGTCGCAAAAACATACAATATTACTTTGAACGATACGAAAAGCAGCTTCGCAACTGAAGAGATTACTCTCTTAGGTTACAAGGTCTCCAAAGGTATTATAAGACCTGACCCAGAACGCATGCGCCCCATAAGAGAACTCCCACTTCCAGAGAACGGGAAATCGCAGCAAAGAGCCGTTGGTTTGTTTGCCTACTATTCACAGTGGATACCGGCGTTCTCTGACAAAATTCATCCATTGGTTAAAAACAAAATATTTCCGCTCCCGGAGAATGCCCGAACAGCATTTGAGAACCTTAAACACGAACTAGAAAATGCGATGGTGATTACTGTCGACTACAATATTCCTCTCGTTGTTGAAACTGATGCGTCCGACATCGCTATTGGTGCATCCCTGAGCCAGGGTAGCCGACCGGTCACCTTTTTCTCCAGAACCTTGACTGCAAGCGAGAAAAATCACTCTGCTGTTGAAAAAGAAGCATATGCTATAGTCGAAGCGATCCGCAAATGGCGCCACTATCTCCTCGAGAGACATGTACACATCATCAAGCGAAGAGTCATTTCCACCACGTTGAATCACCCTTGGTATTAGGGTTGAACTCCAATTGTGCTGACAATGACACTGACCCACTAGAGAACCGTGTCTGCTAAACAGAAATGAGAACAGTCTTACGTTGTGGCTGTGAAACCCGGCCTCTGCAATCTGAGAACCCTAGAGACCCTCCAATATTTGATAACCAATGGCGCCAACTCGATGCGTACATGTAATATGGAAGACATGGAAGACACCATGACTTAGCGACGCGAAATGAAAACACCTGCTGTCAAGTTGAGTGCATGGGGTCTTTGCAGCTTCCTGGCTAGGTTACACACGGTTCTCCACGCGCGCGTTGAGAAACCTTAGAGGACATGGAGCGTGACTGATCTCATTAGTGAACTTGCTGTCATTTTCTGCTTGTCTGTCTAGCTGACATGTCTGTGGCCGTATGCTGGGTTAGACTCGGGTGAGGTTTGTAACGAATGCAGAGTTGCTGATAAGGTGTAGCACCAGTGCAATTACCAGATTTTCGGATTAGAAGGGGTGGACACCCCATTACCGGTCGTTTTCTCTTGAGCCCGAAATCCTTTGGAAAGTCCCCAACCCTACTCTTACTATCCATTCCTTACTGGAGCTCTCTTTCTCCATGGTTGTATGGAAATGCTGACAACTGTGCTGAATTGGTTATGGTACATTGAAGTGAGTGAAGATTTTGATAGCCTCTACTTTTTTTTACAGTTTTTAACTGATTTAGTAATGTGCAGTAGTTGAAGCGTTTTTGCGAAACTCCTTGCAGTTCCTTATCCACCCACAGTTGAAAACTTTTTCATAGAAATGTTCGGTTTTTAAAGTTGACTGGAGGTGGGATAGATGAGCGGCTGGTTGAGGAACCTCAGTCACAAGGACGCTGTTGAGAACTAGTGAAGCATCAGTGTCAACACTGATGTTGCTGTCTTTGATGATGATGATGACGCCCACAGACTGACGGGTTACTATCAACGCGTTTCTATGCTTGGCAAGGGTAGCTGTTTTCTGATGTATTAGCTTACTTGTACTTGTCATCCTAGTAATTCCTCGAAAACAGCTTCCAAAGTACTTAATATCACGACTTCCTATGCATTGTGCGATTGACAACGATGGAAGTTTATCTGTAGTATCAAGACAGTCGCGGATCAGAGTGGAAGCGATATGACAAGGGCGATGACGCCAGGGATAATTTGCAGGTCGTCGGTAGCCGGGAAGCCATCGTTCCATCCGGGAAAATCAGATGGCTGGATCGTATTTTTCACACATCATCATCATCATCATCAAAGACAGCAACATCAGTGTTGACACTGATGCTTCACTAGTTCTCAACAGCGTCCTTGTGACTGAGGTTCCTCAACCAGCCGCTCATCTATCCCACCTCCCCTCAACTTTAAAAACCGAACATTTCTA